TCCCTTGCGCCTCCTCCCCAGTATGCTCCCACATCAGTCGATGCAGTGTGACCAGGAAAACCTGGAACAGTTTACGACGGGTCTTTTTTTGCCATGACTCCCTTGCACTTCAAACTGTAAGTCTGAACTCAGCCTCACATTCTCCAATGTCAAACTTACACATCTTCTCCATACCCTTACTTGCTTCCAGTTTCCGCCTATGTTTGCCTGTAGGATTTCATCACAACTTAAGGACTAGAAACTTGCTCAGGAATTCCTTCAGTCTGACTAGTGGTCAGAAGGATTTGTTAGTTTATGCCAGAGGCTACCAATATGTTAAAGACTTTTGAAAGCAATGATTAGGGACTAAATCTATACATCCATACTTTGGGTGGGCTTTTTTTAAGGTCTTAAATCCAAAAGCATGCATAAAAGAAAGGATTTTGGGAAATCAGGCCTGTAGCTACAGTGGGGAATCTTGGGGCCTGGCCCCCCAACTTACTACCAAGCCCCCCAACTTTCCATACAGCCCAGGCCCACCGACTTCAATTTTTTTTATTTGTAGTGCTTTCTTGGGGGGGTGTCTGTGCAGGCTGCCCCCTGACCTATTTAAAGGCCCCCAAATTTTAAAAATCCTGGCTACCGGCCTGGGGGAAATACAAATAATTCAATTTCTCCCCTCAATACATACGGTACATAGGAGGAAATGCATCAGAATACCTCTGCCAAAGTTACTGTGCTTTTATTTAACAGTCTAAGGCTGTGGTCACACTGGTGGTTTGGTGCGATACAGTGCTGCCTCTAATTGAACTGGTTTAAAGTGTTGTGGGGCATATCATCCACATAGCACACCCTGCTGCAGGTTACCCATGGAGACATCCCACGGTAAAGCCTCCACATTATTGCAGCACCTCACCCATGGAGTGCACTGCAAAAAAATTCCAAAATTCATGCACACGCACAAGTGTGCATGTGCGCACACATGCACTTATGCACATGCATGCACATGCACAAATAGGCAATTGTTTTTTTTAAAAAAACAACAACACCTCCCTAGTAGCAGAACCGATCTGCAGGTTCAGACTTCCAAATCCGTTCTGCGTGTGCTCCCCCGCATTCACACATCCAGCCATGTGCAATGGCTGCACAGGGAACCAAAAGCACCACTTGTGATGTAGTGCCTTTTAAACCTGGCTCCAAGTCATCCTGTGATGGGGTAGTATGGCTGGGGAACACCTGACAGATGTGGCTTTCTGACATCCTATTTGGTCAGTTGGCAACTGGAATATTGTAATTTTTGGGAGTTCATTGATACTGGTGTATTTGACTACAGTGTTGTATTGTTTTCAATAGAGTTTCAGTTGTTAATTCTTACTGGTGGAACTTTTATATGATTTGGGAGTCTCTGAGATGCAGTCCATTTTCAGAGTTTAACATGTTTGGTTACACCAGCTCTCTTACTCCATTGTCCTTTGTTGTTCATTTATTTCTAAACCTGTCAACACAAAATGTACCTTGTAACAAAGAGAGATGCAGTGAAAGTGGAAGATACATAGATTAAATTCAACTGACACCCACAAAATAATATTATTGCCATGCTGATATATTGTATGGATAGTGAGATATTGAATGCTACATGTTCAGTTCAGTTCTTTATTGTTACGGTCATTTGGCCAAACATATAATCAGCTTTACAGTTTACACAATAAACAACATTTATAGAATAAAACATGACCTAATAAAACTTAAACTTGGTTATAGTACAATTTCCGTAGCGTAAGTATCAACACACAGAATTTGGCAACTTGGTACGTAATCCTATGGTTCTCATCACATAAAAGATAATCAAGCTTAGCTTTTTCAGTAAAACCAAGAATTTTATCCAATAATGGAGTAATAATCTCCTCACTAGCCACCTTATAATATGGACAGCTAAAAAACATATGCTCTAGGGACTTGATCTCTTTTAATGAAAATGTGCACAACCTTTCAGAATAGGGGATGTTCTTATACCTACCTTCCATTACTGCAGAAGGAAGGGTAAAACTCCTTGCCAAAGTGTATGCCCTTCTGAAACTATTTACTACTAGCAAAGTCAGGTAGGCTGCAGTTTGTCCATATTTTAACATGCAAAATCATATTAAGGCTTTATAAACTGGAAATGTTCAGTAGTCATATTCTTTCTTCTTTTTTGTGTTTTATTGAACACTATTTCAAACTGATGATAGAACAGAGTGCAATCAATGATGTACAGCAAAAGATAAATACAAATGCAGATCTAAATATCACACTCTTCTTAACAGATATAAATTAGCATTAGAACCTTTCAATATACCATGAAAAGGAATAGTTCCATGTTAGCAGAGATGTCATGCAATATCTTGAATTCTCTGTTCAACGAGCCTCATTGCCTGTTTGAATCCACAGAATAGAAGCTCATAAAAGGGGGAAAACAATTTTATTTATGTAATTTTGTGTATCCTTAAGCCAATTAGATTGATAGTTATCATGGATTATCAAAAAGAATAGGCCTTCGGGATTTAGAGAATGCTACATGGTTTTTGCATTACAATTTCATTTCTTCAAAAAAATTGTGGGCATCAGTTGGATTTATCCTACATTTCTTCCACTTTCACTGTGTCTCCCTTCATATTTAAGTACTTCTTGTGTTTACTAGAAGGGCAACTTTATTTCTTTTTCATTATTTTTAAACCATCACATTATGTAGCATTACTGAAAAATATGGTTTGGCAGAGAAGAGCCCAATCTAATATATTATGTAAAAAGGTAAAGGCTCCCTTGCTCGAAAGCCAGTCGAATCCGACTCTAGGGTTGTGGTGCTCATCTCCGTTTCCAAGCCAAAGAGCCAGCGCTATCCGAAGACGTTTCCGTGGTCATGTGGCCAGCATGACTGAACACCAAGGCGCACGGAACTCTGTTACCTTCCCACCAAAGTGGTACCTATTTATCTACTTGCAATTTCTTGCTTTCGAACTGCTAGGTTGGAAGGAGCTGGAACTAGAGACAGGAGCTCACTCCGTCATGCGGCACCTGGGTCTCGAACTGCTGAACTACTGACTTTTCACAGCCTGCAGTTCAGCGTCTTAACCACTTGAGCCACTGCAGCTCCTAATATGTTATGTACTAGTTTATAAATTGATTTTTGAACATGAAGCTGTCTTCTATTATGTCAAAGACCATTGGTCTAATCCAGGTAAGTACAGTCTACCCGATCCTTTTAACTGGAGATGCCACGGATTAAACCTGGCTTCCTGCGCAGAAACGGACCCTTAACCCTAACCCTACCATCGAGGCAGGCCTTCCCCTTCAAAACATGCACATAGTAGTCCACAACAAGACAAAAAGCCAAATCAAATAATACATAATGCATTGCAAGAAAAGAAATACAGAAATACAGAAGCTTTTGACACTAGCGAACAATCTCTCATCATCCTATACAAAGTTATGTTGATCCCCCAGTAAGAAAATATAACATCTCTTATTTGCATTTTGGTAAGCTAGGCTTTCAATTCATTGTTAAAAACAACAGAAATTGGATGAATTAACACAACAAGAAAAGTTCACACATATAGAACTACAGTAGATGCTATTTGCAGAACCTATTTTGACCAGAATCCAGGGGACCAAAAGCACAGAAGGAGGCTATGGATGAAGCCTTGGACCCCTGACTATTTCTATGCACCATGTGACCAGGTCAAAGACTAAGAATTACTGAGTAGGCAGCTAAGGTACAGAAGGTAGCATTTGTAACATCCAGCAATTGCTTTTCCCTTTTCAATGCCTAAGATGTGTAGAAAGAGAGGAGAGCATAAGTCTCCCCTTAAATATGACTACACAGTGAAAGGCCACCAAAATGAAACGGAGTGTGTGTCTGGTTGCAAAGTCTGCTTTCTCACGTTATTCTCCCTCAGTCCTATTAGACATCAGTATCAGATCACAGAGTTAGAAAAATGGATACTGGTTTTATACAGCACAGTTGTCTTTGTCTATTCAGTTCTCTTTATTGTATGGTCGCATGAGATTTCTCAGTAATACAATTTAGTATAGACTTTACTCATTTACTGGCATCGTGCCAGTATTTATGTTTAACAATGCCACAATAGATATGTCTATTTTACCTCATATTAGGTTCCAAGATTTCTCTCTCTTCATTCTACCAACCTCCTATTTTATGTGGCTGTTCATCAAGGTAAAAAAGGGACACTGAGTCCAACAGAGAAACCGAGACCTGACGATATCCACACAGTAACTTCATGATTAAGCCTAGCTTGAATATCTGAGAAGGAAGGGAAGGTGGCATGGTATAACCTGATCTTGTCAGATTTTGGAAGCTAGGTAGGGTCGCTACTTGGGTGGGATACCACTAAGGAAAATTCTGCAGAGAAAGGCAATGACAATACATCTCTGCTTCTCACTTGACTTGAAAGTTCCTTGATGGGGTAGTCATAAATCAGTTGCAACTTGATGGCACATGCATAAGTATCTTGATGGATTTTACCCACAAGATTAAAAAAATGGATTTTGGTGCTGAAACAAAGTGGATTTTGGTGTTAACCAAGTGGATTTTGGTGTTAACCAAGTTAACTATATATTAAACTTCTGAAAGGACTCTATTCTGCCCAAGTTCATGATATAGTGATGCTGCTGACAATCTGTCACCCCCTTATAGCTGGGTTGACAATTTCTATAGCCCTTCAAATCCTCATCCAATTCAAATATATCCATAATGTCCCCATTTTTCAAAGGGGGGAAACTAAGATTAAGATTTACGAGTGACTTGTTCAAGACTACCTCAATGAATATACAGCTAAACTGGGTCTGGGAATAAAAATACTTTGACTCAGTATCCTGCAGGTGATGACACAATGGTCAGCCATCCATCATGAATGCACACCCTGGTCTGACAAAAGCGGCACAGGAACTGGACTAGCCAAATCCCATTTCTGAAAACATTCCATTAAACCCAACCAAATCCACATTGTAGATCATCATACATTTGTTTACCATTTGTTGTCCTCAAAGATTTTATTCTTGATGAATCCTTTTTTCAGGGCGTCTTTCACTTCCTTGTTTCTGAGGGTGTATATAAAAGGGTTCAATAGTGGGGTGACCAGCGTGTTCAAGAGGGATACCACTTTGTTCATATTCAACGAGGAATGACCTGTTGGCCTGACGTATATAAAGATGATTGCCCCATACAACATGACGACCACCACCAAGTGAGCAATGCAAGTAGAGAAGGCTTTCTGTCTCCCAGATGCTGATGGGATTCTCATCACAGTTGAGATGATGAATATGTAGGAGACCACTGTCAAAAGAGAATTGCTGAATACCACAACAGTCGCAATGATGAAGACAATCCATTCAATGGGGCGAGTATTGGTACAGGCCAACTTTAACAATGGTCCAACATCACAGTAGAAGTGATTGATGATGTTGGGCCCACAGAAAGGCAGCTGGAACACCAGAATCGTCTGCACCAAGACAGTCATCAGGCCACCGAACCATGAGCTGCATGCCAGCTGAATGCAAACCCTCGTGCACATAATGGTGTGGTAATGGAGAGGGTGACATATAGCCATGTACCGATCATATGCCATGGCAGTGAGGAGGAAGAACTCTGTGGCTCCCAAGAAGAAGTGGGAGAATGCTTGAGCTTTACAGCCAGCTAGGCTGATAGATTTCTTGACTGCTAGCAAATTAGCCAAAAGCTTGGGGATTGTAGAAGACACATAGATGATGCCTAAGAAAGAGAGGTTGCCAAGGAAGAAGTACATTGGCTTGTGGAGAGTGGAATCGTAAGCCACGGTGGCAACAATGACAATGTTCCCAGTGACAGTTAAGAAGTAGATCACCAAGACCCCCACAAAGACTAGAACTCGCACCTTTTGGATGCTGGGGAAGCCCAGAAGAATAAATTCAGTCACCACTGTACGGTTCTCCATCCCTACCTGCAGCAAACATAAAAACTGTCATGTTGAGTGAATGAAATGTTCTGACAGGTTCATGGGTCCCCATCCTTTTTGAGACTGTGGGCACTTGTGGAATTCTGACATAGGTTGATGGGCACAACCACAAAATGGCCAGTGTGGGAGGGAAAGCCATGTCCACAAATACAGAAGAAGCTCAAGTACAGGGGGCGAGAAGGGGAAAAATGAGTGAGAGAGAATAAAACCAGCAATGTATTGGCAGCTGCCACCAAGACAAAGAACCTTAAATGCTGGTTCAACCCTGTCCCTGGGCAGCTGCCACCAAGACAAAGACCTTAAATCTTGGTTCATCCCTGTCCCCGAACTTACATTCTACGCTACACTCGAGTTCAGTCCTGTAATTATCTCGGGGTATTTTTTTGTTTCCACATTACATTGAGGTCACCCCGGTTTTGCCCAAACATGTGCTAGGATAAAGGGTTGCTATTATAACCAGGGATAAATGCAAGGTATTGTGTCTTGAGTTGAACTTTGATAAAACCAGGGATGAGATCCTAGTGCAGAAAGGACCAAAGTTATTCTCTTCGAGGCAGCCAACCAGATCTCCAATGAACAATCTGAAACTCTGCTAGACTTTCCAAAAACACTCGGTGGCCACCAGGAAAGGTGTCAGTGGGTGTCATAGAGCCCATGGGGACCACATGGAGACCCTCAGTCTAGTTTATCATTCTATCTGCTGACATTTGGCTTCAAGGAAGCTTTTGGTCAGCAAAAGGAAGCATCACAAGGAGACCAGTGTTCCCTCTAAGCTGAGTTAGTGTGAGCTAGCTCACAGTTTTTTAGCTTCCGGCTCACACATTTTTGTCTTAGCTCAGAAAGGATGGCTCCAGAGCAAAGTAATTGATGCAGTAACCAAATAACTCGCTCACAACTTTAAGGCCAGTAGCTCACAAAGAAGAATTTTTGCTCACAAGACTCCATAGCTTAGAGGGAACATTTAAGGAGATTGTTTTCTCCATTCCCTTCTATTAGTTTCCATAAACGTGCTAGAAAGATAACCCTGTAGCTCCCTAAGTGATCATATACAGCCATTCCTTTACACACTGTTTTACCCTATTCTTTAAAAAATCTAGATGATTGATTTTGTTTATTTTTCGACTGCTCAATGAGATTTATGATTGCATTTTTGTAAGGGGGGGAAAGTTCCCCAAGACTGATGTTCAAAACCTTTAAAACAAAACTCTAGATGGCAGATTTCAACTTAAAGGGAGGGGAAAAAACAATAGCTCAATTCGCCTGATTTTTTTTAAAAAAAAAATGTGAAAAACGGTGCAGCACCTCTGATTTTACAGTACAAAACCCCGGCAATTTCTGAGAAAGTTAATGCGAGATCAATACTCATATGCTTAAGTGTCCAGATTGTGTGTGTGTGTGTGTGTGTGTAAATTTTAACTGATGTTCGAAACCTTTAAAACAAAATCCTAGATGGCAGATTTCAGCTTAAAAAAAAGAAAGAATAGCCCAATTAGCCTGTTGTGTTTTTTAAAAAAAATTGTGAAAAATGATGTAGCACTACATATTTTACAGTACAAAACCCTGGCAATTTCTGAGAAAGTTAATGTGAAATGAATACTCACATGCTCAAGTGTCCATATTGTATCCTGGAGTAGGCATCTTCTGTATTTTCCTCAAATATTAACTTTCATGTGCTAAGATATTTAATTATCCTACAAGAATGGGGAAAACCCTTTCTAGAATATATCACTTAGCAGAAGGCAATGATGGACAGGGAGAGCAGCCAAAGCCAATAAAAAACACCCATCTCTCCTTCTGCCTAAGCACAGAATTTTTACTAAGACGTTTGTATTTCTTTGTGTTGCTTTCTCTGGTTCAGGACGCAATTGGCTGTAGCACATAACAAGGCTGCAGGCACTTCCACAGGCCTTGAAGGATACTTTTCCCCCATGCTTTTAAATGATAGGCAGCAATATGTTCCGTTTTTTTTTTTGTTTTTTTTTTAAATTCCACCAGGGAGATTAAATCACCCAGGGGGAGGATGGCAAATGCTTCTGAAAAGGTTAGCTGTGTTTTACTACAAAATAGATGGAAAAGAAGTTCTTCTTTCTGTTTCATGAGGGGGAAAGGTTATGGGTCCGATGGGCCAAGTGACACAGAATCCTTCCAAACTCATGTTAGACTATAAAGATGTAACCAACAGATTAGGATATTCTTTTGGGTCCCTGTTGCGGGAATTGGGGGCAGCATTGATGAAAGTCACTATAGCTTCTCTCCCCACCCCAATACTCCTTATTCTGAGCATCTGTAGAAATGCTGTAGAACCTCCTCTTTTTTCTTAAAATTCTTTGGTGCAATGTGAAATCTGTTTTGTGCCAATGAAGAAGAATAAGAAGAGGAGGAGGAGATTGAATTTATACCCCGTCATTCACTCAGCGTCTCAGAGTGGCTTACAAGCTCCTTTCCTTCCCCTTCCCCTCCCCACACCAGACACCCTGTGAGGTAGGTGGGGCTGAGAGAGCTCTTTCAAGAACTGCTCTTTCAAGGACAGCTCTTGTCAGAACTATGGCTTGCCCGAGGTCATCCAGCAGCTGAAAGTGGAGGAGTGGGGAATCAAACCCAGTACTCCCAGATTAGAGTCCACATACTTAACCACTACACCAAACTGGCCTCTTATGCACAGGGGTTTCCCCTCACTTTCACTGTGCATATCTGTGGAGTTTTCTTGTTGTTCTACATTGATTTCCTTCCCTTCAGTGCTCAGTTCACTTTCTGATCGCTGTTTCCCCGGGGTTTTTTTGAGTGCACTTTTGTGCTGATTTTCCCCTTGTTTTGCTTCCACCCAAAGATAATTCAAAAGCATATAGATTCCTTTGGATGCCCCCCTCTTTTGCCGCCCCTCAAAGGTTACCCCCCCACCCACATTGTGGTTGTTCTGCCCATTCTGCACCTTCTACCATCCTCCCCCCTTCATCATTGTACAAGCTCATTTCCCCTCACCGTTTGTAACTTTTTTTTACAAGAGGAATGAGTCTAGCAATATGAGCCTATCACTAGTTTCAGATTGCTGAATACAATAAAATTAAAACAGTGGGGGGGAGTTTAAAAGGAACTGCAAGGTTTAGTGCCCTGCTGGTATTGACTTGAAAGGGAGATCAGAGAGGAGGCAAATGGCAGCATCCCCAGTGCAAAAAAATAAATAAAAATAAATCAGTGCTGCATGCAAACAAAATAAAAGGGGGGGATCGTCAGCATGGAATGAAATTGACATGAGATGTAAAGAGAGACAGACACTGGAATGGGAAGCCTAAAGCCATGAAAAAAAAATCCCCCTTTAATCCTTTAGTGGACAAAGTTGGGGCGGGGCATTTTGGAAGTCTCTAGAAGCCTAACATTAAAATGGTGACTGAGCCACTGGACCTTCTGCAAACCGCCAAACTTAAGAATCATTTAGGATCAATCCATTTGGAGGACAGAGTGCAGTCAGCACAGGACAGGCCTTTAACAACTGCCAAGATCACAACCAGTGTGCAGTATCAAATTAGAGAATCACAAAGAGAAAACCATGCACATTTGCAAGGAAGGGCACCCGCTTGTTGCCACTTGTGGGGGCCCTAAATTGAGTCCCCGAAAACTCCTCTAAAATGAATGAAGCACCAGTGGTACCTGGGAGCAAAGCCCAGTGCTGACCATACTGCTGTGCCACAGCCCTGCCTCTCCAATTGTGTAAATTTAAAAGGAAACTTTGGATACCACCCCCCTACATGTCACAAGTGACATTCCACCCAGATTTAGAGAAGTGTATTTTAAAAAAATGTACCTGCGGAAGAAATACCCAGAGGGGGGGAAATGGTGCATAAGGTGGGCACAGAATCCGAAGTCACTGGAAAAGACAATAATGCTAGGAAAAGTTGAAGGCATCAGGGAAAGAAACAGGAGATGGATTGACTACAGCAAGGAAGCCATGGACCTCCATTTGCAAGACCTGACCAATGATACGTCGTTTTGGTGGTTATTAATTCATAGGGTCACAGTAAGTTAGAATAGACTTGTCAACATTTAACACACATACGCAGCAGTCTGCCCTTACAAATGAATTTAAGCAAGTCCATGTGAGGCATTAGACCAAATGTAGTGATGGTAAAAAGAAAAGAAAAATGTGAATTGTATTTTGCACTGCAAAGGATTTTCAGATGTGGATGGATAGTCTCCTTTAGATATCTGTAAATAAGAAGATATGAATTGAACTACCACAATAAATGTTTATTAATTAAAATAGGCATGCCACTCTTGTTATTAGGCAGACCTCCAGTGGGGCCAGAACACCAAAAGCCCTACCACTGTTGTCCCCCAAGCACCAAGAATACAGATAATCACTGCCCCAGACATAGCGTTCCATCTTCGTCTTAACCACTTGAGCCACCGCAGCTCCTGGTCTTCTTTAGATATCTGTAAATAAGAAGATATGAATTGAACCACCACAATAAATGTTTATTAATTAAAATACTCATGCCACTCTTGTTATTAGGCAGACCTCCAGTGGGGCCAGAACACCAAAAGCCCTACCACTGTTGTCCCCCAAGCACCAAGAATACAGATAATCACTGCCCCAGATATAGCGTTCCATCTTCTGGCTAATAGCTACTGATGGATTTCTGCTCCATATGTTTGTTCAATTCCCTTCTTGAATCTATGCTTGTAGCCAGCACAGCACTGAATTCCACATGTTAATTATTCTTTGGGTGAAGAAGTACTTCCTTTTATCTAAGCCTACTGCTCATTAATTTCATTGAGTGCTCATGAGTTCTTGTATTGTGAGAAAGGGTGGAAAGTATGTTTTTCTCTACCTTTTCCATCCCATGCATAATGTCATAAACTTCTATCATGTCACCCCTTAATCATCATTAACTAGCAAAGAATTGGAGTTAGCAAGTTAAAAAAAAAGCAAAGTAGAAGTCCCCACCACATTTATTGCATTAGGAACTTAAGAAGAACCTGCTGAATCAAACTTAAGTCCTACATCCAGTGTGTCCCCAGGAAGCCCTGAAGCAGAATATAAATAACCCTTCCCAGTTTTTGCTCTGGAGAAACTTACCCGCCTTCATGGATTTATCTAGCCCCCATTTAAAGGCAAGCGAGGCATAAATTAAATTATGTTCTGTATAAGAAAGCCCTTCTATTTTGTTGTCTGTTCTGGATCTACTGCTCAGCAATTAAGAACATAAGAATATGTTGGATCAGGTCAAAGGCCCATCCAGTCCAACACTCTGTATCACACAGTGGCCAGAAATACCAGTGCCATCAGGAGTTCCACCAGCGGGGCCAGGAAATTAGAAGCCCTCCCACTGTTGATCCCTCCAAGCACCAAGATGACAGAGCATCACTTGCCCCAGAGTCCCTTTCTATACCTTGTGGCTAATAGCCACTGATGGACCTCTGCTCCATATGCTTATCTAATTCCCTTTTGAAGCCGTCCATGCTTGTAGCCGCCACCACTTCCTGTGGCAGTGAATTCCAAGTGTTAATCACTCTTTGGGTGAAGAAGTACTTCCTTTTATCCGTTCTAACCCGACCTCTCAGCAATTTCATGGAGTGCCCACGAGTTCTTGTATTGTGAGAAAGGGAGAAAAGTACCTCTTTCTCTACCTGCTCTTTCCCATGCATCATCTTATAAACCTCAATCATGTCACCCCTCAGTCGTCGTTTCTCCAAGCTAAAGAGCCCTAAGCGCTTTAACCTTTCCTCATAGGGAAAGTGTTCCAACCCTTTTATCATTCGAAAAAGGATATAATATCCTTTTTAAGGTGTGGTGACCAGAACTGCACACAGTATTCCAAATGAGGTCGCACCATTGATTTATATAGGGGCATTATGATATTGGCTGATCGGTTTTCAATACCCGTCCTAATAATCCCCAGCATAGCATTGGCCTTCTTTATTTATACAGGGATACCTAATTTTATTAGGTATCCCTGTATTCTAGTATTACGATAGAGTGAGCACGAGAGAAAAAGTTCTTTCCATTCACTTTCTCTACAGTGCATAATTTTATCATCCTCTATCATGTCCCTCTTCCCACACAATTAACTTTTTTTGATCGGCCTGTGGCAAACCCATGTCCAAACCAGGACAAGCTGCTCATCAAGCTTATTGCATTGAAAGAGTCATGCCAAGTTTTACTTTTGACATAAAAGTGTATATTGGGGGGGGGGGGGTGGAATCAGCAACAGGGTAATAAAACAGTGTCTCTTTAGTATCTGTGCATTTCCATGGGAGTCCATGGCAAAAATTACTTTGGGGGAAGGTGTGTTCTTATAACTGTGGTAGCAAATGGCCTCGCGAAGTGATCAACTTCAGCTTGGGCCATTGCAGTTGTGGTTTCAAACTCTGCTGACTCTCAGGAACAGAAGCGACCCGAGATAATACTCTTTTGAGAGATGCCACGATTTTTGATATAGATCATGAGAATCAATCAACATAAGGGATCACAGTGTTGTCCTTGAGTCTCTCATGGTGTATGGAATATCTTTATCTCTTTCTTTCTTTTTTTAATTTTTTTTTTATTTTAACTCAACAAGAATACAGAATTACAAGCTTTTCCATAGTATAATCACACAGCAAAATAGCAACTTTAAATTGAATTACATATGGTAAAAAACATCAAATTATTTTTTAGGAACAGTGCAATTAGTTAACTCGGTATTAAACATGTGTTCGAGAAAAGGTAACCATTTCAAATGAACATTAGGTTTTTGTGTACCTTGAATAAAACTTTGTCCCTATTGGTCTTAAAGGTGCCACTGCACTCAAACTTTGTTCTACCATGAACATCAGAAAGAAAGAAAATGTTTTTATCTCTTTCTGATGTTCATGGTAGAACAAAGTTTGAGTCCAGTGGCACCTTTAAGACCAACAGAGACAAAGTTTTATTCAAGATATAAGGTTTATTTGAGGTATAAGCTTTCATGGGCAAGCATACTTCTTCAGATACAGCGAGACAGAAGGTGTTCATGTTACCTCACACCTGGTAGGTGCCTCTCAGTGAAATATTTTTTAATATTTGTTGCTCTCTTCAAAGCTTCTTTGACATCTTTGTTCCTCAAGGTGTAGATAAAAGGATTAAGGAGAGGAGTTATGATGGTATTCAACACAGCAACCACCTTGTTCACCTCAAGGGAGGAGTTGGCCTTGGGCTTCACGTACATAAACATCACAGTTCCATATTGTATAGAGACGACCGTCAGATGGGCAGCACAGGTTGAGAAAGCCTTCTGTCGTCCTGAAGAGGAAGGGATGTGCAGTATGGTAGATATGATGAAGAAGTACGATATTGCCGTGAAGGAGAAGGAACTGAAGAGAAGCAAGGCCGATCCCACCAACACAATCTGTTCCAGAAGGCGTGTGTCAGCACATGCCAAGCTCAGGAGTGGGGTCACATCACAGTAGAAATGGTTGATCAGATTGGGACCACAGAATGGGAGTTGGCAGAGCATGATGGTTTGAACGATGACTGTGAAAAACCCTCCCAGCCATGATCCCATTGCTAACTTGAAGCAAAGCCTATGGCTCATGATAATGCCGTAATGCAAAGGCTTGCAGATAGCCGTATAGCGATCCAAGGACATCGCCGCTAGCAGGAAGAATTCAGTGGCTCCCAGTAAGAAGTGGGAGAAGGCTTGGGCAATGCAACAGGAGAAGCAGATGGCCCTCCTCTTGGCCAGAAAGTTGGCTAAGATCTTGGGTGACAAGGTGGTCACATACCAGATCTCCAGGAAGGAGAAGTTCCCCAGGAAGAAGTACATGGGACTATGGAGACGGTGATCGTGGACAATGATGAAGATGATTAGCATGTTGCCAACTACAGTGAGGAGGTACATAAACAGAACGGGGGCAAACAAATACTTCTGGGACTGCGGAGAGCCTGGGAACCCTTGAAGGATAAACTCAGTGATTATGGATTGATTTGTCCTAAGCATTTCATGGAGAGGACTTGTGCACCTGTCTCTCTTCTTTACCTGTGAAGAAGAAGAAGAAGAAGAAGAAGAAAAGAGAGAGAGAGAGAGAGAGAGAGAGAGAGAAAGAAAGAAAGAAAGAAAGAAAGATGAACTGTCTTACATCAAGATGGATCACTGACCAATCTGACTCAGTATCATCTGCTATATCATCTGAAATCCTTTAATTAGAGATGTCAGTGATTGAATCACCTGAGACCTTCTCTGTGCAAAGCACCCGCTTTACCACTGAACCAGAACCCCTAAGTAGAGAGTTTATTGGCTGTTCCACCATAAAATACGTATTTCCTTCCTTTTTACCCACACTGGTTTTCAGAGAAAGGGCGCACAGCTTATATTCCCAGTTTAATAGCAAAACCTGCAATGTATGTGTGCAAAGTGCCACCAAGTCTCAGCTGATTTTTGGTGACAGCACAGGGTTTTCAAGGCAAAAGATGACCAGAGGTCGTTTGTCATTGCCTGCCTCTGCATAGTAACCCTGGACTTCTTTAATGGTCTCCTATCCGAGTATTAATCGGGGTGGACCCTGCTAAGCTTCTGAGATCTGATGAGACTGAACTAGCTGGGATCATCCAGGTCAGGGCAAAATATGCAATACAAAACTGCAAATAAAGTTCACGGCTATTTGTACTCATTCATCTGAATTCGTCCCCACAGAGCATTTGGTTTATTGGCTTTTCCAACCACCTTAGTTATGCACCCACACCTCCACCCATACAATGGGCTTTAGTGATACCTGTTACAGTAATGAGATACTACCATATTTAGGTACCTTACCAACTACCTAAGTGCACATCCTTTGAAGAAGCATCAGTGGATTGAATCCTGTGTATGCGTTCACAGGACTTGTCTGCATAGCTACAGTGTGTAGCATTTCAAGAATTACATTGTGAAAATTACTGTTTTTACAACAGTCCTTTCATGTAAACCAGTGCTATTATACACCCTATGATCCTTGCTGCCCTTGGATCTCATCCCTGGTTTTATCAGAGTTCAACTCGTGACACAATACCTTGCATTTATCCCTGGTTATAACAGCATCTGTTTATCCCCGGACAAGTGTGGGGCGAAACCGGGGTGTCTCAGTGTAATGTGGAAACAAAAAATACCCCAAGATAATTACAGGGGTGAGCTCGAGTGTATTGTAGAATATAAGTTCAGGTACAGGGTTGAAGGAGCTGCGGTGGCTCAAGTGGTTAAGACGCTGAAGTGCAGGCTGTGGAAGGTCAGTAGTTCAGTAGTTCAAGACCCGGGTGCTGCATGACGGAGTGAGCTCCCATCTCTAGTTCCAGCTCCTGCCAACCTAGCAGTTCAAAAGCAAGACATTGCAAGTAGATAAATAGGGACCACTTTGGTGGGAAGGTAACAGCATTCCGTGCACCTTGGTGTTTAGCCATGCCGGCCACATGACCACGGAAACGTCTTCGGACGGCGCTGGCTCTTCGGCTTTGAAACGGAGATGAACACCGCAACCCTAGAGTCGGATTCGACTGGCTTTCGAGCAAGGGAAACCTTTACCTTTACTTTACAGGGTTGAACCAGGATATGAGGTCTAGTGCGGAAAGGACCTATGACACACTTCTTCCATTTTCCTCCCTCAGAGGCTAGATTTTCCCTCCGATTTTATTTTCCCTTCACTGACTGAGCAGCCCTGGTAATGTGTTGTCTTCTCCTTAAAAGAAACGTTGGCGCTTCCACCCTATCTGAGCCCAGGAACCTGAGGGAAGGATTAAGGTCGCCCTTTAACTGGAAACCACTGGAAATGGCAATTAAGATGCTTTTAAAACTCAAATATAACAAAAAAAAATAACATTGAGTGGAAAGGTTGGGTGAAATCAGGCTAATGAGAAGGTTCTGAAATTATTCACTCTTACTTTAGTTCTCTATATCAAGAGGCTTTTGTTCCTGTATTTTCCCAAGCACGTCAGCACATGTTATTTGTACACTTGTTGACTCTTTTGGTGCCCTCTGGTAACCTCTTCCCCGTATCCAAACCCCTTCTCTTGGAACACCAGTACTCTTCTTGAGAACTTGGTATTTCCTTGGACCTCCAATTGAGGGTAGGGGTAGGAGTGTCAGACTGGGATACGCATGTTCTGATCCCCACAATGAAACTGATGGGCAGTGGGTTCAGGATAGACGAAAGGAAGCTTGCTGGGTGACCTTGAGCCAACCATACTCTCTCAGCCTAAGCTACCACACAGGATTGTTATGTGGTGACTCGTTAGATGAGCTAGTGGAGGATTGGAATAACTGACTCTCGACAGCCATCAACGAGATCGCTCCCAGACGCCCTCTGCACCCTCGATCTAGGCCCAGATTGCTTTGCGGGATCTTCACCAATTCCGTAGAGCGGTAAAGACTGAGCTGTTCCGGCAAGCGTTTTAATAGCTCAGACCACACTGACTGTTCTAGCACTTTATAACAGATGGCCGCCACGTCTTAATTGTAATTTTAATCTTAATAAGCTATATTTGGTTATTTTATTGATTATACTGTTTTAGACTTGATAGTGTATTAATTGTTATACTGGTTTTTAAACTACTGTGAGCCGCCCTGAGCCACCTCGGTGGGAGGGCAGGGTAAAAGTCTAATAAATAAATAAATAAATAAAATAAATAAAATGAAGAAGAGGAAGAATGATATAAGCAGCTTTGTGCCCCCGTTGGTGAGAAAGGCAGGGTACCAATTAAGTATATATATTTTAAATAAGCCAATTTCCTAGTCTAAGATACAGAGGGAAAACGGCAAAAAAAGTTTAAACAGGAAACTTACACAGTCAGTTGAGTTTTGGTTTGAAGAACGGAAATGAGAATACAAGTATTGTTGTGAAACTGTTATGTTTGCTAGAAAACACAAAACCACAAATGACCTCCTGGGTTTCCAGTAAAGTAAGAGCTTCTGTTTCTGGGTTGGTTGATTTCAAAAGCTCAGGCTGATAGTTCAAAATGACAAAGGAACTATGACCCAAAAGGAAGGACTTATTTGGTGGTAAGATAGTGTTTGGGACCTATCTGATTTTACTGATTCATTTACTGTTCTACCTTTTTCATAAAACTCTTGGTACTGTATCAGGTGTGTCCCATCCACTGTCCTGCCTATCTTCAGTATGGTTGTGTTCCCATGGGTCTTATGATCATGCTTTGAGTCCTTTAAGTCTGCAAGTCACACTTAACCCACCCTTCATCTGAGGTATCTGAGGAAGTGTGCATGCACATGAAACCTTATACCTTGAATAAAACGTAGGCCTCGCTCACACGGGCCAGATAACGCGGGGAGGAGGCGTGGCTATTAGCGCCGTCACAATTTGAGCCGCTGCAATGTGATCAGAAGCGACAGCCACCAACTGCGCTGTTTTCAGCGGTGTGTGGTTCTTGCAGTGCTTCAATGGGGTAAAAAAAAGTGCTCTGGGGTGATCAGACAGACACAGTCCATCTGCGGCCCATGGGAAACCGTTTGCTAGTAGCTTGTGGGCGGTACTTTTTAACTCCATATCTTCGGCGGTAAGCTACGGGCTGGGGAAAGGCGGGCAACATTTCCCAGATGTTTCCGTATGATCACGCCCGTTTAATCCACCCGGCAGTCATGCCTCTCCCAAGGCAAATTCTCTGTGTGACCGGAATCTTAGTCGGTCTTAAAGTTGCTACTGGACTCAAACTTTGTTCTACTGCTTCAGACCAACAAAGCTACCCACCTGGATTTAATCCACCCTTGTTAAGCCTGAGGGCTTATCACTATTTTTTAAAAGGGATATACCAAATCCCCATCCATCTTTATCTCACTTTTCTTCCAAGGTGCTCAGGTCAGTATACATGGTCAACCCCCCCCCATTTTTTTCCTTACAACAATTCTGTGAGGTGGATTAGTCTGAGAGATTGCCTCAAGATATCACAGTGAACTTCATGAACAAGTGGAGATTTTAGACCCTAAGGCCTAGCCTAGCATTGGAACTACACCCTCTCTAACAGACACAGCACGAAGAACTAAATGCTGTCATTTTTGGTATACTTTGCAAATTAAGCATCACCTCTCTTTATATTTACATTTCATATTTTGTTTCTGCTAGCCCTGAGAAGTAACAAAGGCCAATTTCAGACACTGAACCCAACAAATTTGGAAACCTATTCACCTTCACCCTGTCTTCTGAGATTGTATTGGATGTTATTCACACATTTTTTCCCCAAAACCTATACTCACAGGGACTATAAATGTCATTTTTTTTAAAAAAATGGGGGGAGGAATAAGATCTCAGGATGTTTTATGGCTAGTGTTGGGGCCTGGAGACCTCCTGCTATTACAACTGATCTCCAGATTACAGAGGTCAATTCCCCTGGAGAAAATGGCTGATTTGCAGGGTGGAGTCTGTGGCATTATACCACACCAAGGTCTCTCCCTCCCCAAACTTTGCCTTCTCCAGGCTCTATTCCTAAATCTCCAGAAATTTCCCAGCCTAGAGTTGGCAAACCTTCCTGTGGCCTATCTTACCTCCAATGCTTTTGTGTTTGGCTCTCCATCTTACAATATTGTCCACACTATCCGATTATGGCAATGCACTGCTGAAATACAGCTGAGGAACTGAAGGAAAAGGATACTTACAGAAGGTGAATGAAATAAGAAGACATTGTTTAGTTGACAGCTTTTGAAATAGTCCAACTGCTTCATCCATGCAGCCTATGGATCCACAGTGATAAGACCATTGTTGAATCAAAAAAATCATCTTTTATGATCATGACTTTGACAGGAAATTTTAGGCCAATTGTAACTGTAAGCCAAGTAAGGCTCATTACAGGTTTTGCTTTAATCATTCATCTCTACCAATTATCAGCATTTGCAAAGAAAGCAGCCTGGGGGATGAGTTCCTTGGATAGATGTGCTATATTTTGAAGGACAAATTTGCAATAAAATAGTTTCGAAGTCATAAGTAATAAAATACTTTGGGGACTTTATTAAGAAGGGCGACCTTC